AAAAATAACGTTAGTCTCTTTTGCAGTGACGCCAATGAAATATTCGTACCTCCTACCAACAACTTTGGTCTTGAAGTCGAATCCAGTCGCTTTCCTCATGGCTTCGACAATATCAAAGACGCTCATCCCACGGCCCGCGCCGAGGTTGAACGCTCTGAACTTGCCCTCTCCTTCCTTGTCACCGACACCGACACCATCTGGATGGTCAAAGACGGTCGATCCATCTTCAAGTGCCTCAAGTGCATTGAGATGGCCATCCGCCAAGTCGCATACGTGGAGATAGTCTCGCACACAGGTTCCGTCATGGGTCGGGTAGTCGTTGCTAAACACGTTCAAGGTTGATTCCTTGATACGCCCCACAGCCATATGGGCTAGAAGGGGCAAAAGGTTCCCGGGCCGTCCGCGAGGCTCCTCGCCGATCAATCCGGACGGGTGTGCGCCCGCTGGGCTAGTTGATATTAGAAGAGAGGCCTTTATCTTCTGCAAGAAGTAGTCTTACTTGAAGTACCGTAGTGATATCATCCGCCAGACATCAGGTTGTGCTATGGAAGCTATCAGTAGGAATTTTGTGTTTATATCTGAATACGTACAGCGGCATAGGTCACTGAGGATGGTCTCTGACATCACCTTCGAGCGACCGTATGGGCTCTTGGCGTCCAGCTTCGTAGTTTCTGGAATCGGGACGACCGGCGGTATTCCGTAGACCGTGGCAGAAGACGAATATACTAGCCGATGGCAGCCGAACTCGCCCATCACACGGGCGAGAATCATTGTCGCGACAACATTGTTCTCATAGTACTTGAGAGGGATCTCATTGGATTCTCCAACAGACTTGTATGCCTGGATGAACGAAGAAGCGACGTCAGTACTGGAAATCACGAGTTGCTCCATTCGCACTAGCTGTACTAGTTCTCAGGTTGGCTATCCCTTTTGGGAACGAATGCTCCCGCAGAGGGCGGGCCGAATATTGAACTGAACTAGTGGGGCCCTTCTCGAAATTCCCGAAAGGAATAGAGAGTAATGATATGCAC